GGAGCAACAGTATAGCAAAATCACTCTGGCTTGCAAAATACGTTCACCTCTTGGACTTAAAGCTAAAGCACTCCATAACTGCAGTTTCAGCTTCATTACCAGTAACCAAGTGGTGAACATTATATCACTTTAACAAACAATTTAAACATCTGCTTGAGAAGTTCTTTAAGCCTCTCCATCTGTAACTTCTAAGCTTCTCTCAGGAAAGAAAAAAAAAAAAAAGTCGTTTGAGAGACCTCAGAGCCTTCATTACCTTTTCTGTATGTTAATCCTGCATCTCAGGCTCTTTTATAAAGCACGTTTTTCACTTTTGTGACATACTTGAAACTAGAGTTGAGCAGCATTTCCATAAAGTGGTGTTTCCATTGCGCAGCTGCATATAGTAATTTTGTTGCTTTTAAAATATACTTGAGTTATCCTGTGCAAGGTTGAGGTGTCTGCCTTCATCAGCCAACCTTCTGCTTGATAGAGCTTCAGGGCTGGATTGCATTATTTTAGCATTTTTGAAAATCACCGCTCACCACTCCCAAAACCACCATCAGGTGAGTAGAATTTATTTTAACAAGTGCAGCCCTTGTAGTGTAAATGCTAAGTCATGGCCTGAACAGCACCTGGTGGGAAGGCAGGGCCACCCAGAGGAGCTCAGGTGCATGAAGGGGTGGAACCAAAATCCAGCCCTTCTCAGACCTCATTTAATGGTTGGCAGTGGAGGTGAGGGTACTTTGCTGGAGATCTCTGCATATTTGAGGCCTTCTAAAGGTAAGTGTTTTCTTTTCTTTGTTTTTGTGCCGATGGCTGCTCTGTGTGAGCAAATCCTCACTTGTTGCTGTCTGGGACCTTGCTGCTTTGCTGTTATTACTGCATGCTTTGCTGTGTTACAGTCCTGTAGATAATGCCAGGCTTTATGGTCTTCTTGAAGGAGAATGAAGTACGTGCTGGGAGGAGCTTTCCTGAGACACTGACAAGCTTGTTGAAACCCTCAGTAAACATATCTCTAGCTTCTTTTTTGCAGTTGGAATGAAAGGAGAGTGGGAAGTTTCTACTCAGATACAACTTGAGGTGTAGACAAGGAATTGAAGATCTTGTTTGCTTTGACTCACAGGCAGTGGCTAATAGGTCTGTGCTACAGGCCTGAGACAAGGGGATTTGGGACTTTTGGTTGTTTTGATTAGAAAGAAGGGGAAGTTTGTACTGTATGGACAAAAAACATATGCTCAAAGGCTTTATTTCTAATGTAAGTTGTCTATGAAAAGGAATTAAATGAAAAAATGCTTCTGTAGAGAGAGAACTTCTGGATCAGACTAAGCTTAATGAGGTAGGGATGCCTATACTACCTGTGAAGTGTACGTAATCCTTCCCACTGTATGTCGTTATTTTCTTCTGTTTATGTTTCTGTTGACTTTCTGTGACCTGAGATGAAATTTTCTTGGCTTGCCCTCTGTTAGTCCAGCAATTATTTGCAAAGAGATGCAAGACTTACCTATGAACGAAGTTAAAAGAAGTGTTAGGCTGTTTTTGTGGAGCCTTCATTGCATTCATGTTAATCCTTATTTATATCACTGAGTGCATATTTGAAATCTATCATGACAGATGACCTAAGGAAAGGATGGCAAATTGCCCTGTGAAAATGCCCTGTGAAATTGTGGATAGATTTGAACAAAACAGGAGGAAATTCACTGGGTCTTTTTTTTCTGTCTGAGGACTCAAAAATGGTGATTCAACTTCTTTTTCAGATCTTGTTTTACTGGCTTAAGACACTCTAAGGAGATTAGGAATCAGGAATTTGTTCAACAGAGACAGCTACTTCTTTTTAGAATTTTTATTTTACATAAAAAGGAACTTTCAAGTTATTTCCATATCTCTGCTACAATTTTTAAATTTTCAATTTTTCATTTTACCTACCTTTTATATAGCTTTTCCCTTTAGTTATTTTTGTTTTAACTTTGTCCTTCCCTTGCCATTTTCAAATGGAAGAATGCCATGCTGTGAAACAAGAACCCATTTTCTCTTGAAGCTATTCTACCTCCAATTATATATATACAGAAAAATGTTCATATGAGTGCTTGTTTAATAGGTAAGTGTCTCAAAGTGCTAAGCAAGATTACTTTTTGAGAATCCTAAGCGTTCCTCTCTTAATACTTGGAGATAATATTTTTTTAATTATTTTATTAAAGTATTAGCCCTGGCAGTGACAACTTCATAAAGAGAGAAATATTAATGGGTCCACAAGGGGAAGCAGTATTCCAAATCCTAGTCTGAACCCTCAAAGGAACAAATAAAATAACTAATCCTTTACAAGTTGATCTAAATCAGAATATGTCTTTAAAATTTTTTTCTGAATGGAAAAAAAAAAAAACTTTTAATCTAGCATTTAACCATTGATTATGTTGTCTCCTTATTCTTAAATATCTCTTCTGAGAGCAGAAACAATCCTTAGGCTTGGATAAGAGATGTTATAACTATGTAAGACTTCCAATTTTGCATTGTCTGCTCTTAAAGTAATACCTCCTATTTATTTTCATGGAAGCTATAGCAGATATGGAGACCATAATAACACTAATTGATAAAGTAAATTCTCAGCTACAAAGCACTTTTTCAATGTAATCCCTGCCATTACCCATGTGCTTCTGCCAGTGACAAACAAGATTCTGCATGCTGTGCTCATAAAAATCTGCACCAGCAGAGATGAGAAACTACTGCTACTGCTGAAATGCCACCACCCACCATTTTGCTGTGATCACATCCACTGTTTGGTCTCCATAACTTTTCACCAAGTATCAGTGAATGTCAGTAAGTGCCGTTTCTTTCCACATGGAGGAATTCAGTGATGCACCTTTGCTTTATACCCACTTCCATGTCAGATACCATCTTGACAGGGTAACCCTCTGCTGCCATCTGTCACATAGCAACAAATGTTAGAAAAACTGGTGGAAAGGTTCAACCTGTACTGCCATACCACCACCATCTGCCTCTATTGTGGGCCAATATTGTAACATAGGAGGCATTACTTTTGGAGCAGCCATCATACGTAAATCTACTCACTCTTCAGAGGCTTATTAAATCTCTCCTAGTTGTAGAAGTGAGGTTCATCAAGCCAGGTAGTAGTTATGCCATTATGACTAAACTGAAACTAAAACTCAGTTGAAATTCTGTCTATTGATTATAAGGTGTTTTAGCAACGAATTCATAAACACTTCAGAATAAACAAATAATTTATGACATTTTCAGTTTATATAAATTCACAATTAAAAACAAAAATGCGAGTATTTGATAAATCATGAAATTAGCTTTCTATTTAACTAGTAACTATGAATTCCTTGTCTACATAAGAAACACTTGAACTCTTGAGACTTGTTTGTACTTTTTTTTTTTAGGTTTTTGGTAAAAGGCTTCTGCATGTTTTATGAAACTTTATATAAATGACTGAAATAGCTAATTTTCAGACTTCTATTATTCCTTCCTACTGTGAAGAGTTCTCAAAAATGCTGCTTGGAATATATAAATCACATTGCTGTTCTGTACATTATCTCCCTTCTCAGTACTTCACAGGTGGCATTGATCTCCCTCTGTCTTTTGGCCAGAGGTACACGTTTATACTCTAGATGCTTCAGTGCTGACACTTTTTCAAAACCTGCCTGTAGCAGTGTTTGCTCAGCTCTGTCTGCGAGAGGAGGAAAGTCTCTGTCATCTGCTGTGGATTTACACTCTGCTATGTGTACATTTGCTAGCTGTTTTTATTTGTTGTACTTCTATTCTGGGCTTTCATCCAGTACCTTTTATTAACATCACTTCTTGGCTGTCTTTCCCATTCCACATTTTATTTTTTTAATTTATTTTTGTTTTTAACTTGTTTCCACACTTCTCCTTTTTCTTCCTTGCCATCTCCTGCAGTCTTTGCCTTTCTTAGCTGAAGCTGTTTTCTTCATTATGTCTGTCAACAAGGGCATTGCATCTCAGTAACAACGTTCTACAAAACTCTTCAGAGAAGTCTTTCTGTCATCATCCACTGACCTAGGATGTCCCTTTGCTAATACTCTGATATGGAGTGTGGCACAGCTGGAGAGAAAGATCAGTCCAATACAAACACTTCTGACCATCACCATTTTACCTCCATCTGCTGTTAGGTTCTCTCTCCATTTCCTTGCAGGCTAATAGTTGAGTTACCGGAAAATATATCAAGACATCTGAAACCCAGTAAATTGGGAGACATTGGTACATAGGCCTGGAAACATACATGCTCTTTACGTACTGACGGCTGTCTAAACTCTGCTTAAGCCACTCTTCATAAAGATGGTTTTCTTCAGAGGCAGCCACCATGGAGACTGTTCTCCACAAGAATGCTCTTTGTGACCCAGCTGGCTCAGGGCCCTTTCTGAGGGTGGGAATATATCTGGTTATCTCTAGTGCTTCTCTCTCAGATCTCTACTCCAGCTGGCCTGGGGCTCTGAGTTGTGATAGGTACAGCCTGATGCACTGGTCAATCCTGGGCCTGTCAACCCAGGCCCACATAACGCCAGAATTACAGAGGCCACTGGTGCCAATTCACAATTACTGTGAGACTAGGGACTGCACGCTGCCTGGGTGAGACTGATTCCTACCCCATGTGTGAATGCAAGCAGCTATGTGTGCTTCAGGCTGGCAGGAACTGTGTTGTGCACTCGTCAGGCCTGAACATTTTTTGAGCACTAGGAGATTTTTCCAGACTTCAGTCCTTGTTTGGTCTTTCAATTAGCAGCCCTTTCAACACTTGAGCATGGTAAAAGAGAGGGTTTTCTTTTTTTCCCAGCAGTTTTGTTCATTTTGCTGTTGAATTCTCATTGTTCTTGGTCTAAAAGGTCATGAGTGACATGACACACAGCAGAAGCAAAAGCCATGCCATCCTGGCTGGTGTTACATATCTCGTGTTCAGAGCCAATGGGAATCTGTACAGTAAATGGAGTTTTGACCAAAATCCTCCTCCTTTCTTCTAAAAACAATTTCACTTTTGTTTAAGCAGAAAAATTGTAGGCAGAGAGCTCCTGAATCTTCTGAACTTAAGGAGCAGCTGTGGAAGGTATTGAACTAGGATGAAGATGTTTCATGTGAAGCAAATAACAATTTTGTCTGCCTTTCATCCAGGTAATACTCCAAAACTGTCTTTTCAGATGGTAAAGGTAAAATAAGTCAATATGTCAAGAGACATTCATGGAGCATATAAAAGTGTGTACAAAATTCATTTAGCAACCATTAGCAACTAAAACAGGAAGAAATTGAGCTGGTAACTAAACCATGTCACTGAATTGTATCTGAGAATCATGGAGGTAAATGTGTTCCTTCAGTACCAGATAGGGGACTGAGAGGGCAATGGCTAGATTAAGTCACAGTATGCCAAAGATCTGATACCTGACAATCAATAGGAAAACGTGGGCATGGTGCCAAATTTCTTCATATCTTTGTCTCTTTCTAAGGCCAGCAGGGAAATTAAAAGCAAACTCAGTTAATATGCATTTGGACTTACAGAAAAAAAAAAAATACAGGGGGAATAGACATGATGGGGACAGAGTAAATTTTGGCTGTGTAGAGTAAATATTGCCAGCACATTAGTAATTTTCTGTGCTGCTGCTTTACTCTGGGAATGAACAGGATCATCATTTGAAAACAATGTGAAAATGAACAAAACAGAACAGAAATCTTGACTTCATATTCTTGATTTCTTTTGCAGCAATTCCTCAGCTGCTTATTAGCCCTCTGTCTCATGCCAGTGAAGTGCTTCCATGCTTACTCAGGTGAAATATTTACTTTTCTGCAAAAGCTAAATTGCTTGGGATGTTCATATACTAATAATACAAACTATGTTTCAAACTGTTTCCTCCATGGTTGCTTCGCTTATCCAGTAAATGATAATGCTTGCTGCATAAAGGTAATGTCTGCATGTTTTGAATCTATGGTCATTTTAGCTTCATGGAACATAGCTGCAAAGTTTGGAGTCAGGATTTATCATCCCTGTTGTCTGCATATGTTTGCAAGATATGCCTGCAAATTACATCAAGTTACATTCTAATTCTTTTTTTTCTTTTTGGAAGCTCTTTCAAAAATGTATTTATAAACAATTTGAATTTTTCCTTTTTTTTGTTATCTAGTTTTATTTTTCTTCCTTGTAGTATCCTGTCATCAACTTCTGATGAGTCTAGGAGACAGCGGGAGAAATGATTGTCACAAATATATGGTATACAGGCTCTCTTTTCCCAGCTTACTTTTTCTCTAGTGATTTCCTGTGCCCTTCTTTTGGTAAGTGAGCTGTTGAAACAATTTGAGCCATGGAGGCACCTTAATGGTGCTTGGAAGCAGTTTGATCTCAGAGGAGCTGCATTTCTGTCATTCAAAAGACCAACTGAGCTTCAGAGACATGAGCATGAGAGGGAAACATGAAAAAATGCACTGAGTTTTGATTTTGGTAAGATGGACCTGATGTTTAAGGAGTATGACTGGGTGTGTTGAACCTGAGGGAACAGATTTCTCAGCAAGTGTCTGTCTTTCCACAAAGCATTAGCGCCCTATGTCCATCTTGGTGAGATAAGTATTATATTCTTGATTACTGGAGTAGGATAATTCCTCTTCCATGGGCTAGCAAGCTGTCAGTGAGAATATCATCAGGAATGCCCTCTGAGGCATTCTGTCCTAGGACAGTACAGCTCACCTGCACTTATAATAGAGCACAGCAGTTAAATAGTTTGGAACCTCTCTTTTTCCATTTTGTCTTCCTCCCCAGGACAGAAGAGGTCAACAGGCACTTGAGCAGGAAGTCCCCCTGGTTTAATTGTCTAGCAGTCAGTGGTGAGACATTTTCAGTGGAGGGCACTTGACTCTGCAGTTCTCTTCCAAGGAAGCCTAGAATGGATTCACTGACCTGTGTGGCACAGTGAAGTTTTTACCTAGAAGGAGAAATGGGTGAGTTGACTTTTGTTTTGGAATTACACAGAAAAGAGAACTGTTATGTAGTGGTGGTTTGGTGAACTTGTGCACACACTCTGTGTACATATTATATGTATACAGGTACATAGGTGCAACAAAATGAATGGTTGATTGGCAACAAAGCTACTTCTTATCTCACCCTATGTCTTCTAGTTTGCACCATGCAGTTTTCAATGGGTGATCAATTTACTGCTCTGTGATATTTTTTTTTTTTTACCTCTCCCACCACTACTGCTGAGATTCACCCTCTCAAAAAGAAAGTAAAAACAAAAACAATTGAATGTCTTATCCCTGATAAATTTTCCATTAGCTTGTCATTTGAATGTTTTTTTTTTGTTCAGTGCAGTTGTTGGCAAACAAACACTCTTCCATAATGTCATTGGCCACCATTTCCCCTTATTTGAACAAAACCTTCTAAATTCCCTTGGCATTTTCACAGACTCCATGTGTCAGAAGAGTGTCTGAAAAGCTATTCCTGCTTTCCATCTTCACATTTTTAATCACCTCTTCTAACCTAGAGAAGAGTCATTCAATGTAATTTACTCTGTGATGGATAGACTACACAAATCTGCTAGTGTTCTCTTCTACTGTGGATCGTTATTGAGTCTTTTGCTTGCATGTCTAATTCAATGTTATGCAGTGCCAGAATTTATAACCCATCATTCCATTTGGCTTGCACCGTGCAGCCCAAGCTTATAAGTTGGTGTACCTACAGTGACTTCCGTTAATTGTCTGACTTCACTGAGGATTTGTGAAAGAGAAAACTATTTGATACTGGCAGTAACTTAAAGAAAGCAGTAGTCAGCAATCCTGTGGTAGCATTGAGATGATTAGGAACTGGAAAGTAATGAAGAATATGCCAAGCATGCAAAACATGAAACAGAAAATTAAACTTCCTCTTCTATTTTCTACAAAATGAAAAATCAGTGTGGAGTATTGGGAATTTTTTTGCCTGTTCTATTATGTTTTGGGGGTGGGGAGGTGTTTAAACACTGTCATCTGAACTTTCATTTAAATTATTACAGTTAGTTTTCATAAAGAGTACTCATGTTTTAAGAACTCCTCAGCTACAGCTGAACTGCATGACCTTGAAGTGTTTCCAGTTTCCTAGGCTGGGATATAGGCTCTGGCTTTGTTATTACCTCATGATGAAGTGAGATATAGGTGCCTATTGTGAAACTGTTCCTTCATATTAGGGTTAAACAAGAGCTGCACTGAGTTCTGAGAAGTGTCCTTTGTGAATGAGAGATGTACTGCCAGGATGTAATCTTATCAATGCAAACACTGCAGAGGTGCATCTTGTTGCTGCTTTATTCATGACCTGCTCACTTGTGTCTAAACCCAGTACCTTAAAGTAGTTTGGGAGGTGAGTTTACGAAAGAATTAGGGAGAGAGAGAACATTTGAAATGGTTTTGTTAATGCTTTTGGTTTAGTAGGTATCTACTGTCATGACCAGCAGTGTTGCTTCCCATTTTCAAAACTGCTCTTTTTACCACAGCACAAAGATGTACGTGAAGGTGTTTGGAGAACCTAGGGAGCAAAAGGGATGGTATGTGCAAATCAGAGTGCCCCCAAATTGCTGGTATACTTAAATATGCATGCTGGGGGTAATCCTTTGTCCTTTCACACTGCGACTCCAAATTGACACGATCCCCAAGAGCCCCTTTTCTAAATGAAGGGATGAAGGCTACAGTGGTCTGGTTCTGCACCCCAACTGCTCTAGGATTTCTAACCTCCATTGGTGTGCCTGTGGTTGAAGGAATTTGCATTCATGAGTGATTAAAGGATGCTTTGTCCTTCAGGTTTTGTAGGTCACTTCATTATTAGAAGCCTGCAATATTTTTACCAGACTACTTCCTTTTCTCAAAAAAGGAAAAAAAAAAAAATTGATCTTTTTATCCAGGACCTTATAAGAGTCATTGGTGAGCTCGGAGCTTTAATGGAGTTGTTTATTGTAGTTCAGATAATCTCTAGCAGCAGCTTCCTGGAGCAGTAACAATGGAAGGGTATTTTATAGCTTTGAGCACAATAGCATCCTATGGAAAAAAAAATCTTTATCTCAAACTTAGAGCACACTAGAGAGACATCTTTATATATCTTTAATTCAATACTTAGTAAGAACAGAAAATACGCGCCTAATAAAGCAGAGATAAATCTTTGTCTAAATTACTCCATCTGCAGGACTTGTTACCTTTCTGAATATGAACGTATGCAGTTTAAAAATATGCAACCACTCCCAGGAGGAGTAATTATTTTAACTTTTGTTCTGGAAGCTAGCTGTGTTTACTCTTTGGTGGCAGAGGAGCCAGTCTTGAGACACACGCAGCTCGGTGTGCTCTTGAGGAACAGTTCCCTGTGTCTTGTCTGCCAGGTTTTTGGCAGGAGCCCATCAGACACCTGTGCTCCCCAACCTGGCCTGCCAGAAGTGGCTGCTACAGATGTCAGAGCTCTTTTGTTGACTTCCTATTAGTCGCCACTTAATGGATGTGAGCCGAACACAGCTTTGCCTAAGCACTTATCAATAGACAGCAAACATTCTTCTTTCAGTGGGCAAAGGGTCAAACTGTTTTGCCTTGCTATAAAGCTGTGCCAGATAATTGCTGGTGATTAGCAATTTTAATTACCAGGTGCTAGGGGTCGTTGCTTGTGGAGCTTTTTTTTTGCTGTTGTTGTAATTGGGCAGGCTGTTAATAGGTATGGCTTATTGTATGTATGCTGTATATTATACAGATACATCGTGCATCCTTTTTAAAGCAAGTGAAATAAAGTCAGCAACATAACCTGCTTCTGTTTGAATCTGATTAGCTGCATAGTGCTCCAACAGGTTTTTTGATAAAACTTGTCTGATAAAGGAATCTTTAATACAACTCGCTAAAGCAGCTTTTAATCCTCTTGTAAACACTTGTATGTACTATTGTTATTGAAGAGAGGCAATGATTTTAAAATCTTTTCCTGCTACATTGGTCATGTTGGAACTAAGCTTGTCAAACATGTTCTACCTCATTGGTTTTGCATGCAGACTTTTAGGGGGGTTTCATAGAATCACAAAACCAACAGCACAATTAGCAGTGAACTAATCTCTTCCCATATTCAGCAGTGAAATGGGTTCAAAATAAAACTGACACAAAAGACTCCTCTCTGATCTTCCTCATAGCAGTGAGAGAATAAGCAGCTATAATACTTTAGTTTCTTTTTTTTTTTCCTTATTACTTTACATCACATCACTTACTTTCTTTTTTTCCCCTTTCTACCTCACAAGCTCTGTAGGCATACTGAAGGTCCCTGAAAGCTGAATGTGCTGTTTACTAATCTACTTGGGCTAGTAGATTAGATATGCTCTTTGAGAGAATACAAAGGATGAATATCTGCGGTATGGTGTCCTAGCTTTGTTTTTATTTCTTCTGCAGTAATACCTACTGTCCCTCCTCACCTCACAGCTTCATTTATTCCCAGTAGCCAGACTGTCATTCATGAGCTGCATCTGGGCCAACAGGATCAGTTGGGCAAACCTTCCCCAGCATCATCTTTCCTGGGGTGTAAGAAGAGAGGCTTATGTAAATATGGTGGTGGAAAATGGGTAGATTTTAGTGTATTATTTTTTCAATAGCAAAGTCAAACAAGTCCCCTCATGACATTACGATGCTTTAAAAACCCAAGTGAGTCTCAGAAGAGCCACTACTTTCCAGAGGGATGACAATTGCTTGGAGGCAAGCAACAAAACACGGTTTGGGCTGCTGTATCTGGCTTGTCTCACACAGCACCGACCAGTCCTGATGGTGGTTGCAGTCACAGCTCCTTTTGTCATTTCTTTATTCCAGCCCAGGAACCTGGTGGCTCCTTTGAAGGTGTGGTTTGTGCCACCAAGAGCTAGTAGTCCCTTGGAAATGTTACTAGGTCCTGGCTGTAGGTGTACAGAGCTGTAAATCATCTTCTACATATTTGTGAGAATCATATATGAATTTTTACTTTAAGAAGTGAAAATGTTTTGTTGCTTGTTCAGCAGAATCTGTCAGACAAAATCTTGTGGCAGCTGCCATTGAAATCGAGGGCAAAGCTTTGCCTGGATCAAGAGCCTTGGGACTGAGCTGTCAGGTCCCTTTTGTATTTAAAAAAAAAAGTCTAAATCACTGAGATTTCCATAGTGGTACTTAAAATTTTCAATAAACATTCATAAGCATTCACTTTCTACTGCTAGTTAAATCTAAAGGGCTTTGAAATTGTTGAGACCTGGGGAAAAAAGTAGTTAAATCATTAGTACAGGTAGAAGGAAGCCCCTGGAAAAAAGGTGAAGTGTTCAATGTGCTTCCATTCCTTTATTTTCTGTGGCACAGCTACAGCTGTGACACCCTTTGGAAAACATGGATTCATTTCATTTCTGCTGACACCAATGCCTGCAGACAAGCTGCAAAACCCCTGTGCCCCGCCTGATACTACTCTAGAGGAAGCTGCAAATGAGTAATATCTCTGAGAAGTGGGCAGCTTGGGGCAGAATTTGATTTCCTGAAATCATTCTGAGCTGTGGGGGATGCTGGCACATTATGGCAGCTGTTTTTGACAGGGACTAAAAATTTAGGTTACAGGACTAATGCACAGTCTTGGCAGATCAACTGGTTTTCACAAGCAATCATTGCTTCCAAGTCTGAAATGTGGTCTTCACTGTAGAAAAAAGTTCTTACCAGAGATATGTCTAAGTTTACTTTTGTTTTTCTCTGCTTTCACCTGAAAATGGATTCTTTTATTTGTTGCACTACGTATTTTCTTACCTACAATGGCAGGCCAAAGTAATATGTTCTTAACACGGAGTACCATTGATGCCCTTTTATTTTTGATTCCAACATGGACTCACCCCTTTTTCAGGCTCTTAGTAATTCTTATTTCAAAAAGATGCAGAAACCAACAGAAGACAGTTAACTAAACAGATTTTTTCCCTAATTTTGCTATCACAAAACTCCAGTATATTCTAAAGAGCA